AATGTTATTTAAATTTTATCAAATAACATCTTCTACACTTGTGGTTTATGAATCCGGGTTGAGTTTATACTCTAGACATCCAGATTTAAAAAAAAATCCAAATTGTTTAATAACATTTTACAACTTAACTTTGAACCTGCTAAACCTAATATTGTGAAATCTTGCAAATATTTTAAGGTTATTGTAAGCATGGTAAATCGTTAATCAAAATTTTTATCTGTTTATCTCCCCAAAAATTTATCACGTCAGTTCAAAATTTTAGCAAATATATATCCTATTTAAAAGGTGCAAATATTAGTCTAAATTTGTTGTTTAACATCGCGTTCATGTTATTTAGTATCACTGTCACAGGGTGACTCAAAAAATTGATGAATGATGCAATTTATTTTATTAATCAAATCAAGAACGGCTTACCCCGATTTTACACAAATTTTTGGAATACAGTACTGCTAGTATTAGGTGCACATATCTAAATTGATATACGTGCCCTTGCTAAAATATTGGTGACGTCATAGTTTACTGCCAATATATACTTTTATTTTAACTTATAGTTGTTATCATTAAAAAACTAAATAAGCAAAATAAAATTTTATAGTTTTTGGGAAAAGCTGGATATACTGTAGCCCATGAACGAGGGAAGTTCTGTCTAAATAGTCTTAGAACAACTTTTTTGCTGTGTTAAGAAATAAAAAATATTACAGTGACTAAAAGTTTTCTCTTCCTTCTTAACTTTAATGACATTTTTTCAAGAAAACAAATTCGAAATTTAATTCATTGTTAGTTTCCGTCTGTCTGTCTGTTTGTTTGGCGTCTGCGGGACCGATTGTTGTTAAATTTTGTACGTATATTTGGAATACCATGTAAATGGTTAAACACTAACTAAAATTTCTCACCCCCTCCACTGATTCGATGACGTCTTCTCCAAAATTTATAGCAGTATTTTTTTTATTTTATAAAATAAGATACTCCTGAACTTGTGGCGTATAAATCCCGGGTTGAGGTTTTATCCAATCATCCAGATCTTCGCAAAAAAAAAATCAAAATTGTACAACATTTTGTAATTTAAATTTAAAACTGAAAAACCGAATACAGTGAAATCTTGCAACGTTTTAAAGTTATCGAAATCACAGTAAATCGTTAATCAAAATGTATTCGTTTATTCTCTCCCAAAATCTTGATGACGTTATTATAAAATTGTTGGTCTCGTTGAAAATAACCGTTTGTGTAAATTATAAAAATAATACACAATTGGAAAGTGTGAAGCGAGTAAGGCAATTCTGTAGCGGGCTGCACTGGGGACGGGTAGTGGGGATAAATAAACTTCGACCGCCCAGCTCTACTAATAACCAAATCGAACATACACAACTGAAGCTGTGACAACACTGGAAATTACATTTTAAATATTTATTATCTTGATTTTAGATTTTCAATATTTACCTAGTTGTCTTAGGGTTGTAATTATCGCCGATTAAATATAAAATTTTAACATGTAGTTTGCAGTATTGTCCTATACTAAATTTAATTTTGTATAGGACAATACTGAAATATTGGCTAGCTTTGGTTAAAAAACAATAAGACAAAACCAAAGTTCATTTAATATTATTTTTTCTTAAAACAATTTTTTTAAGAATTTTAATCAAATGATAATGATAACCAAGGTTACAAGAAAAAGAAACAACGTGTAAATAAAACTAAACTTGTCGGGTAATGTCTGTAAAATTAAAGAAAAAATTATTATAATTTTTAATTTTATATATATTGAGAGTCACTAAGCGAACAGTCGTCGATATCTCATTAATTATTCTTCGAGATAAGTTAATTTGACAGAATTGCAAATAAATCTGTCAAATTAAACACAACATAACGTATTTAATTAAATTAATTTTCAACTACACAGTGTTCTATTTTTGAGACTAGTTTTTCTTAAATGGAACACCTTATATATTTTTACGTACTTTGTTTGGTGTCATTGTAGGCTTTATAACCATAGTTTATTTTCGAAATTTCGATGCGACATTGCCATGTCATTCCAATTTTCTTGAATTTTGTTAGCAATACAAAGATTTACAAAAAAATATAACAATGGGATTATTTTTACAGTTTCTGTTATTTTATGTATTTAGAAATAAGCAGGGCTGAGCGCTTTGTTGCGGCATTAATTAAATTAAATTTTAATATACAGAGTGTTCATAAACATTTCTAAAATAGTACAATTTTCAAACATCGATAATTTTTTTTAAATAGAACATTTTGCATTTTATTGCTGCATCTTACCCCATTTTGGTTTCGATGTGTAGTTTTGTCTCTTAAAAAAGTGAAAAATTCCATAAACTATCAATTTTATATATAGAAAATATGTACTTAAAAAAAAAGGAAGGGAATAATACCCAGAATAAGATGCAACAATAAAATACAGAGTGTTCTACCTGAATAGAATAGAAATATCGTTATTCGAAAATTGTAATATTCTAGAATTTTTTATACACACTGTATATTAAGGCTCTATTTAATTTAAACCACAGTGAAGTGCCTACCTTTGCATCCACAAAATATTTTAAACATAAGTCTATAACATTTTTTTGCTAATATTTGCATTGCGAAAAACGTTCAGGAAAATAGAATAACGTGGCAACGTAGCATCGGAATTTCAAATTTAAAAGAAACTAAAGTTTTAGGGCATAAGAGGTCAGTGAGAATATGCAAAATTATATAGGATGTTCCACAAAAAAAGTAGTTGTATGTTATGTCTCTACAACAGAACATTCTGCATAGTTGAAAATAATTTTAAGGTATGAATGTTATTAAAAAAACTGTACAACTTTATCTGTGATTTTTTTATTTTTCAATAATTAATGAAATATCCAGGAACGTGTGCTTAGTGACTCACCCTGTAAATTTATTGCCATTTCGTTAAAAACAGCATATTGCCTCAACACGATTTTTTTTTTAAATCTACGTTTATTATAATTAATACATATAAATATTCCTTTAGAAATTGTTTTATGTACACTCTAAAACATATCGATTAAAATATCTCGTTTGTCAAAAATTGATTAATTTAAGCCCAATGTTTTCGTACGACATATTTTCGTACGACAAACCTTACAAAGCTTATTTTAATTGATTTATGTCAAAAACTGTATTACCGAGTTATTTTAAATTTTGCTAACTAAATATCTCAAAAAGTATCGACTACTTCAGAAAACGCACCACTAATTTTTCTACATTTCGAGAAATCCACTAACAATTTGATTGGGGTTAAATTGTACACAACTAATGTAACGTTTTTTGTAGAAAAAACTGATTTGTACCGTCTTGAATAAATACTCTTAATAAAGAGGTTATAACCAGATACCTACTAATTTGGGACTCATTTTTAATTTGAAAGTATAATCACGATTCTATTATTTTACAATGTGCCACCTTTTCCAATTCATGGACTTATATTTTATTTTAATCAATCTTATAGCAGGTACTTATTTTCTATTTTTCTTCATTTTTTCACTCTTTCACATTTTCTCAGTCGTTGTTGAATAATATTGCTTTCACGTTACATATTCTATCTGCTCTGATTCTAACTAGGAGTTATGTTTCTCTTTCTTCACTTCCACATTTAGAGCTTGTTATCATTTTACTTCCTTTTACATTTATTCTATACAGGTAGTGTAAGTAATCTTTTGTAATTAGATTTTCGTAAAGCACAGTATACTTTTTGCACTTTTTCTCGTTTCTTGTGTCTCACAAACTCTGGCCCATGCACAATTTCTCGCACATTTCTTTTCACCTCTATGCACATACCATTTTTTCATAAATAATTATCTCTTTTTTCCTCAAATTTTATGTAGTTTTTTTTAAACAATTTTGCAAAATCTAATATCTTATTCTCTTTATTAGATATATGTATGTTTCTCGAACTTTTGCTAATTTTTACATTCATATTATGACTTTTCATTTCTTCTCTTAACATATATTTTTTTACATTTTATCCCGTCTACCTCATCATATTTCTTCCATTCCATTCCGAAACTTTGATTGCATTAGTGCTGATTTTAAAATTCGCATCATCGAAACAAAGCAGTTAATATTCATTTAATAATATTTTGAGCTAATAGAAACGAAGATTTCAGTTCAGGAATTTACACAGATTTTTAAAATCTCAAAATATTGTTTCTGAGAAAGTTTCTTTAAAATTTTATTTTTGAACAGTGGGAAATAATTCACTTCAAATAGCTTTTTTATATATTATAATCAGTTCGAGTGTATTATCACCTATTGTGTACAATAATCAAGATTATACAAGTGATTATAAAATATTCCTCTAGTTGATTTTGACATTTCATGAATTTTGCCGCTTCATTGTCAATGTCACAAATGCCAATAAATATGTCGGACATAATTTTCACTGTGTTTGCTGCAACCAGTAGTTCATTTCTGTCTCATTTAAGAGGCAAATAGTTAATTACTAAATTTTGTAACAAATGTTCCAAAGCTAACATGATGTTCGACATTTTTGTACCCCGCCTGCGTTTGACGTAAACAACAATAAAACTTGTATTTGATTTGGCAAATTACGTAATGAGATAATTAACAGAAGTGTATGGCATTGCTTCCAAGTTTAAAAAATAAAACAAGAATTGTAAAAAATGTGTCCCGATATAGGTACTAACTGTACAGCTCCACTAATTTTTTCATTTGTCTGCACAAAAAATGTGTGGGACAACGTAATTGACCTTCTGGTTTGACATATATTTTTTACCACTTGGCAGATGTTTTGTTAATGAAAATAAGCGTGACCGGATACGATTCTATTTTTAATTTTTGACATGTGAAATTATAAAAATGTTGATACATAAAATGTGCGCAAAGTTGCAAATAATTATTGCGCTCTCGGTTTCAGCGAAAAAACAATCTGTTCGGGTGACGAAACTGAAATAACCCCGCACGTCCAGCGCCTAGCAGCTTACATTGCACTACATTTACTTTTATATTACTGTCACCAGGGCAGTTGGAATTAATGGCACGTAAAATCGATGAATTTATATCCATGTAGTAAAAACATTAGATTGTTATATGGACTGAATCGAGCTGTATTAGTGTCAGTTTGCACGCTACACTGCTTCTCCGACTAAAATATTTTATAACTTCAGAGTGCGAATTCATCAATCAGTTTGTTCATCGGTAATAAAAATGTAACAAAAAACATTGCAATAAAGTGGGTAGCATGGAAATGAAACAGATGTTAACAACGGTCCCGACATGAACAAGATCACGTTCGTACGAGATGAAATCCTATACTGTTGTTTCACGTTAAATAAAGGGTAGTTGGGACAACAATCGTCATGGGAATAGAAAAATGGCCACTGTTCTTGTTTATTTTTGCCCTACACGTTCTCAATTCGGCGGATGCTCAAGGTAAGTCTGACCGCAATTTACTTTTTTTTCATGAAATGTTTAGTGCGTATATGAGCTTTTGTATTTATGGAAATTTAAATTTAGATTTTCCAATTACAGAGATGTTGTCGGTGATCAAAACGCTTAATAACATATGAAATCATGAGCAGACGTTTCCTTCTTGTTTAATGTGTTTGTGATGAGCCTCTATTTATTCGTATTCCATTTCCGAACCGTGAAAACTATTTATATCGTGATAATTGCGACGTTTTGCAAAGTAAGACGAAAGTGTATACATAGGATAGGTTATATTATTTTTCCGGAAATCGTCATAAAAACAATATTTTATATAAAGACTTTACAAGACGCACAATACAAAAGGTACTATAAAAAAGAAAAATTTATTCAAAACTTAATTAGAAATATTAATATGTTGTAGTAGTTGTTTTTTTGCTGGCCCTGATTATATTTTTCTTTCTATATCTAGCTTATTTTGTATCGACTTCTCGATATAGATCTCAGCCACCATTGTATATACTTTGCCATCCTCCATGTCTTTTTCAATTGGAGATATCGCCCCCAGCGTCTACTAATAAAGTTGCTGAACTGCGGCACATACAATGCCCCGTGTATTGCAGAGGTGTAGGTAACCCAAGATACGTTGCAACTTTAGAAGTGAATTTTCCAAATAAATGTAGCCTCACTGGTTAGACAGTACATTTCCCTTGCTTGTAATTTAGAAATAGGTGTCGGTGTGGAGCACGACCGGGCGTAATTCCACATAACGCCTGTGCAAAGCAAGATTTCCTTCATTGACAATTACAAAGCGACGAAGTTTTTTGTTTTAGAATCAGGAATGTGTACTATTAGAACGTTATCTTGATCTTCAATGTAATCCTGGAACATTTTTGATAATTCGTCTCATTCAAGCTCCCGAAACGCCAACAATAAGCGCGACTTGTAAATATGTACATAAGAAAAATAAATTAATTTGAAGTACATATTTAACCATCGTCACAACTTACTTTCACTAATAAAACTTCCTTGTCGGAGGCTTCAAGAAGAATTTTAGCAATCTAGCTCCGGGACAAATATTTCGATTTTTTTGGTTGCTAACCAGTCGATTTTCGCTTTAAGTATGCAATAAGCTTATAAAACTTGTTAATGTTCAAATTCTACTTCAATAAAACACGGATTTTAACATTTTCCGCAAACTACGCAAGAAATACTTCTTCGGTAAGTGAATTAACTTTTTTTTCTCGACGCCAATCTTCGAAAATTTGGAATGCCCTTTCGTACCGATCTTTTAATTTACACCTCAAATGGAATACCCTCACAATGATTTTCGTCTTCTTTCATCATTATTTTATGAATTAACACTGTTTTCACGACACACGCACAAAATTGAATTGAAATTTTTTCGATGTTGTTTACTTTTAACTATAATTGCCAACAAACTTGATTTTTGTGGAATTTGCAAAAAAATTTTCTAAAATTTTTAAATTTCGTCTTTTTTACGATTTTCGGAAAATTTAATACAAAACACGTCAGTGCGTCGTATTTCAATTTAGCTCCCCTTCAGTAATGTGAGATTTTTCTGACTTTTTTGTAAGTAACTATTACCTCTAGGAAAAATGGTCATACCCATCATAATCATAATTTGTAATTTACATAGTCATTTTCTTCTCCATAGCTTCATAACTCGTTAAGAGCCTTGCCCGTCTCATGGGTAACTAGGACTTAATTTTTACAAGATGTGGTGGCTACACAACATACTTACCCCCTTAAGTGGTCTCAAGAGGGACGGCTGGTTATTAAATTCCTTTTGCTTTCTTAATTTTCGCTACCCTGTCAATCGTTTTAATTCCTTGCCATCTTTTTCTTGTTGAGAATTCCTAGTTTACCTGATTATTCTATTCACCTTTTCCTTTGTCGCACTTTCCTCTTTTTCTCCACAATTTTCCTTAATAACTTACTAAATTGCGTCATCACTTCTTGTTTAGTTCTGGTCCTTCACTTTTTGTTTTCTTTAACTTCACCATACATTTTCGTAGTACTTTCCTCTCCCATAATTTCGACTGTATTTTCATCATATTGGTTCAGCCTTCACGTTCCTAAGGCATCACCACGATAATTTTATTATCGTTGTGTATATTTTAACCTTGGACTTAATTGACAGCAGTTTTGATTCTAGTGTGTTCGAACAAGCAAAACAGTATATCTTCTCTGCTATTGTCCTGCATTTTGTATCTTCCTCGTCTTCAGTTGGTTCTGGTACTATAGCACCTAGATATGTAAATTCATCCATTTTTTAAAAAGTTTGGTTTAATGTTATTTTTTGTTCTTCGTTTACCAGTTACCTTTTGTTAGCATATACTTTGTTCGTTTAATTGCAGTCCTATTATTCTGGGACTTTTTTGATACGTACATGTCTTCTACATCTTTTTTCCTCGTACCCATTCTGTCAACATCATTTGCAAGAACCAACATTTAATTCTGAATTCCAAGTTCGATTATTGTATTTTTCATACACATTAATAATTTTGCAGTTTGTCTGAATACAAATATTTGATGAATAGTTGAACGTTTTTTTTGAAACCCTACCTCTTCTTCTACAAACTGCTTCAGTTATTTTTTTACTAGGTTACTACATTTTTTACATCCATAATTCAACAGTTATTTTTTATGTCTCTACATATCATAATTTCATAATCTTGGTTGAAATCCCCTCTTCAGTTGGAGTTCAGTTTCTCGGTAGAATTACCTTTTGTTAATTATTTGCTCATAGACTTCCATATGATTTTTAAATTGTCTCCTTTTCTTCAATGTGTTTTCTTTACTTCGTGCTTTTTAGAGATATTCTTGTTTTATTGACGCTGAATTCTTTTGTAGCATTTTTATTCTAGATCTTGATTTTATCTCTATTTCGTCGTCAAACTATCTAAACTCGTAGACACAACTTATTATAATATAATATATACGCAGATGTAGGTTTAGCCACAATTCAATGTGGTAAAAATTTAGGTTAATACAATAGTATTACGTATGCGTCAAATAAACGTTTAAATTCACTTTACTTTGTCACTTGTGTTATTATGTTTTGACATATAAATATAGTAGCTAAAGCTTCAAAATTTTTACAAATCAAATGTAGGCTAGTACTTCATTGGCCGTGGTGTAAATTAGTCCATTTCCTGTCAATTTCTTCTTCTATATTATCATTTTGTTTTTGGTGTTCTCAAATGTAGTTGCTTTTCCCTTTTTTAAGTTGGATATTTATTCTTTATACTTGACTACAACCGGATAGTGGTCCATATTTAAATCAACTCTTCTATGATTTCGGGCATCTCGTATATCTAATGCATGTGTATTATTATAACTATAATTAATTTACCAGTTTGATTATTTTAGTCTCTTCATCCGGCGATAACCAATTTTGTTTATCAATGTTGTTATGAACAAATTTTTTATTTGTACTGCTTATCATTTGACTAGGATTTGTGACGGTATTTCTCATTTAACACACCTATCTTAGCCATTTTCTCAGTTCCTGTATCAACTCAAGCAGCTCCCATCACATCCATTTATTTTTGGACTCTGTATCTTTCCTTATTTCCTCCTCTGTGTCTTCCGCGCCCTAAGTTATAGTATGTTTTCTTTTTATTCCCTTTTCTACTTATTCCCTTCTCTTAGAGCTTTTCTTAGGTAACTTTGCATTTTTGGTTAGTTGATTATTATCTACTGCTGTTAATTTTATTCTAGTTTGTTTAACCATTTTATGTGTCTCTTCCATATCATCTTACCTTCTTGCCTAAATTAATCAACCTGTCAGTTTTGTTATTCAATTTTTCTGTTGTTAGTGTTCTTATCGCAAGTGAGAAAATCTTCGGCGGCTATCAACTTGTTAAAAGCAATAACTCTCGAAATTCGCTATTAATTAGTATTTGATACTTCAGAAAATCAGTCTACACGCATAGAGTTTTCAACTTCAATTTGTTTACAAACACTTTTGTAATTTTTCAATTCGTAATTCTTTAGTTATTTTGATTTTATTGGATTGTTTGCTGATTGGTAACTGGTATTGTCAGTTTGCGTTAAATAGAGAGTAGTAACAAGCGACTGAAAATAAATGGCTACTTTTTTTTATTGTGCGTTTTCGCTCTATACGTTCACCAGATCGGTGACTTCTCAAGGTAAGTCTAAATTTAGATTTTACAATTACAGAAGAGATGTTGCTAGTTAGCTAACCACTTAATACCATATCAAATAATGAGCAGAGGTTTATTTCTTCTTTATTATATTTGTGGTGAGCACATATACAGGGTGATTTTTTTAATCTGACACTTTCAAATATCTCGAAAAATAAGGATTCTGCGAAAAAATGTCCAGACTCAAAATTTAATCAAGCCACAGGGGAAATACACTAGTGCTAAAATTAGGCCCCCTTCCCCTCTATTTCTAGGTGGAGCAGGGGTTAACTTCGTAACCTTAAATTGGAACTACTATTTTTTATTGCATATTTGGAGTCTGCGGCTAAGTACGTATGATTTGTCTGAAACATTTTTTTCGATTCGTAATATACTGAGTGACACAAGTAAAAGAACACCTTGAAAAAATTATAATTTTCTAATGAAACTTTATATATAATGGTTGATTAAATAAGAATTAATTAGAATTTGAAGGGTATTGATTCAGTAGTTTTAAGAAAAAAGAAATGTTTTTCTTGTATGGTAAAGAAAAACATGGTGTTTGTCGTAAGGCCTCGAGTGAGTCGTCATCTAAATTTTAGCCAACTCTGCGACTCTGAGAGAGATCGAATTGTGGGTCCTCGGGAAGAGGAATTATTTTCGTTTCGCTAAATTGTAGCCCGATTAAACAGGACTTTATCATCTGTGGCAAACTGTTATCAGTAGAGAGCGGAAAATATGCAGCAAAATTTTGGGAAATCTTATCATATGATATGCATCAAATTTATGCAAATATGTAGTAACTTTCTTAATATATGCAGAGATATACAGTTG